GAAGGGAGGATAAAGGGAGAATGAAGCAGATGAAGGAAAGAGAGCGAGAAGAACAAGTGGGAACAGAGAAGAGGAGAGGTTTAAAGATAGCACTTTGGAATGCGACTGGTTTGAAAAATAAAGATGGAAGGTTTTGGGAAAGTTTAGAGGAATGGGAGGTGTTAGTAGAAACATTGATAGAGAAAAAGGAGCGGAAGAAAATTAGAGAGAAGTTACCGAAAGGATACGAATAAAAGATGTAACGAGCCAGCAAAAAAAATAGGAAAGGGAGGGCAATGGGGGTTATGATGCTAAGCATGAAAAAGGACTTGGACAGAAGGAGGAGGAAGGGAAGGAAGTGGAGAGATTGATAGCAGGGAGAATTAAATATGACAGGGATAATTTGAAAGTAGTGAGAGTGTATATAAATAAAAACATGGAGAGGAAACTAGAGGAATTGAGAGAATGGATGGAGGGGAAGGAAAGGGGAATCAGAACAATAATAGGGAGTGTTTTAATGCAAGATCAGGGAATGAAGGAGGAAAATTGGAAGGAAAGAAATAGGAAAAGAGCGTGAATAGGAAATCCAAGGATAGAAAGATAAATGGGAAAAGAAGGAGTTTGATAGAATGTATTAGGGAGAGAGGGTGGTGAATTCTGGATTTTGAATGGGGGGATAAAGAGAGATGAGGAAGGAAATTGGACATATACAGGTAGTAAGGAAGAATTAGTTATTGATTATGTTTTGGTGAATGAGGAACTGGAGGAAGAAATGGAGCAGTTAGAGATAGGGGATAATGTAGATTCGGATCATCATCCGTTAATAGTAGTAATATAAGTTTGAAGGAGAGAGGAGTAGAGAGAAGTAAAAGAGGAGAGAGGGTTTGAAAGGGAGTATGGGATGAAAAGGGATGGAAACGGTAAACTGGAACTGGAGTGTGGTGCTTACTGAAGAAGAGGTACATGAGGAGATGGGAGAGCTGGAGGGAAGAATAAAAGGGATTATAGAAGGGATAGAGAGAGAGAGAGAGAGAGGGAGGAGGATAAGAAAAGGATAAAAGGATGATGGGGCAATGAATGTTAAGTAAAGAAGAGAGTGCTTAGGAAAACATTGAAAGCATAGAGAAAAGGAAGGCGGATAGACAAGAATATTTAAGGGAAAAGAGAGAATACAGGGAAATGTGTGAAGGGAAGAAGAGGGAGGAAAATGAGAGATGGGAAAAGAAGGTAAAAGGAGCAAAATCAGAGAGACTAGTGTGGAGAATAATGAATAGAGAAAGAAAAAGGTGGAAAGGGATTAATAAGGATATAAAGCTGAAAGTGTGGGAAGATTATTTTAAGGAGTTGTTAGGTGAAATAGAGAGAAGGGTGGTTTTGGGGAAAGAAAGGAGGGAAAGAAGGGAAGAAAAAGATAATTTGAGAAGGGAACAAATCAAGAAAATCTTGGGAAAAGTTAAGGACGAAAAAGTAGTGGGGGTGGTGGAGTACCCGGGAGGTGGAAATATAGGAGAAGGAGATAGAAGAATAGAAGATGTGTAATAGAATATGGAAGGAGGCTGGAGGAGTGGAAGGAAGAGGTGTTAGTACTGATAATAAAAAAAAGACAGGGAATGGTAGTGAAAGAATATAGAGGGGTGACGATAATGTTGACGTTATATAAAATATATGCGTTAGCATTGGCGGAGAGATTGAGAAAAGAGGTGGAAGGCAAAAGGCTGTTACCGAGTCAAACAGGATTCAAGAAGGGGATCAGGACAATAGATAACATTTTTATATTTAATTACTTGATTAAGAGACAGATAGGAAGGAAGGGAGGGAAGTTGATAGCAGTTTTTGTAGATTTGAGAGTGGCATTTGACTCGGTAGACAGAGAGGAATTAGTAAAGGCATTGAAAGAAAGAGAAGTGAGGGAGGGATTAGTGGAAAGTGTAGCGGAGGGGTTAAGAGAGACGTAGGGTAAGGGCGAGAGGAAAATTAGGGGAGGGCTTTTGGACGGCGAGGGGGATAAGACAAGGTTGCCCTTTGAGCTCCACGCTGTTCAACTTGCTAGTGGCGGATTTGGAGGAGATGAAGAAGATAAAGTGGGGAGGAATAAAGGTAGGGGAGGAAAGAATTTACTTGATAGTGTATGATGTGGTGTTGTTGGAGGAGAAGGGAGAAATGAGAAGCATGTTGAAAAGGCTGGAAGGATATTTGGAAAAAAATGGACTGGAGCAAAATGCGTGAAAAACGGAGGTAATAAGATTTAGGGAGGGGGAAAAGTGGTTAAGCAAAGTAAACTGGAGGGGGAAAGGGGAAAAGTTGGAGGAGGTTAAGACGATTCTAAAGTCGTCTGTGTTATCGACAGAATGTGATTATTTTCCATAATAAAATAAACATAATTAAAGGCAACAGATTAAAAAATCCTTCTCCACGATTAAAGTATAGGCATCAATGTAGTTTCAGCTGGTAGAGATTATGCTGAGAAGATCGGAAGAGCACACGT